TATATTTGGATTGATGACTTCTCTAAATCATAGGCCGCAACAGCCGAAAAACGTTAACGACACTCGTTTTGAAACATCGCAAGACTCGCCATGACATTCCACGCAGCTGCATGATATTTATCATTAAAATAATACTAAATCTTCTTTGTTTGGTTATGACATTTGCTTGAAAGGCCGGCTAGATACCTTCTCAACATTCTCGGCATTCAAGATACATAATTCCGTTAGCCTGTTGGTTAAAATAACGAAGAAACCAAATAGCATCGGGCGTCCATCTTGGTGCTTCGCGCCAAAACAGAGCAGCAACTTTGCAACCGGATGTGATGTCATAAATCGGTGGATCATAGGTACACGAAACAAGTACTAGGCGCTATTGGAGTCGTGGGCCCCCCCCCTGGTACATTCATATGAAAGTTTACTTAATTGGCTTACAAACCGAGCACAAAATATATTTCCGCGGCCACTACATATTCCTCCATTTAAATTCTTAGTTTTCACATAGCTTCCTTCTTAAGAAGTGCATCATCACGGCTTATCAAAACAATACTAAGAAACTAAAACTAAAAATTAATAATAATAAAAAAGCAGAAAAAAAAGAAACTCCACCAAGTAGATATCCAGGTATTCAAACCTACTAAGTATATTATTTTAACATTGTTGACTTTCTCTACAATCCAAAAAAAATATCACATTGAGTGATCAACAACAATTTCCGAATTAATCTATCACTTGGCTGAAAGCAAAAATTGTAAACTCGGAAGGGTTTACCCAGAGCAAACATATCTGCACACCGGTCTCCGGATGAAGTGACACACCCGTTTCGTCCTTCCCCAACTATCTGGCACCCAATTGCAAACTCTGTTAGATGCCCAATCACACACCCTGTTACAAATACGTCTCAGGAGCTGTCGTTTCTTACCTAAGGAAAGAAAACAAGGCACAGCACACTTAGAGTAAGTATTGTATCCCTGACCGTTAAAGGAGCTGTGTCACGAAATTCAGCCAAATTAGGAAATTACACAATGCCCGTTAAATTAAGAGAAACATAAAAATAACCGCTTAAAACTTTAAAGGAAGGTTAAAACAACAGATGCCACGGATGGGCAAAACTGAAGAAGATTAAAACGGATTGAAATCAGGGTTTTCGACAACTGTTCGCTGACCTAACAGTTTTTCAAAGTTGATCCCTGCTGCTTGCAACTTCAAAAATAATGCTCAGGAGACATATTTGTTTGTCATGGATCTCTGATTTTTTCATTTACATGTAATTTCTTTGCTTACTCTAAGTTCCATAGCGATTGAGGGAGAGGAATTCGCAAAATTTAACAAAATGAACTGGACTGCCTTGACACAGCTCCTTTAACAACTAATATAATTAGGGCCAAAGATCAGGGCTCTAACTGCTTGTGGCTGAGTCAGTTTTAAAACCTCTCAAACTAAAATGGAGTCGAAATTATTTAAGTTTTACAGACTATCGTAAAGCCGACTTATTAAGCATTTTTATACGGGCATGCACCTTGTTCTCATTTGACTGAGCAAACACTGTAAACTGAGTCGTAACAGAGGCCAAACTTCTTATTCAGCTTTATTCACTATCACTTACATGCTTTCAGAGCATTTTCCGGGTTAGGTGTTTGTCTTGTTTCGCTGAAGTCAATGGGATTTACGTCTCCTTTCACCACTGCGTAGATTGGCAGCTTGGCACACAAACGTGCCATTTCATCACTTAGCTTTGATCGGTCTTCAAGAGCTCCTACAACTGTTAGGTTTATGTCAGTTCGAGCCTTTGGCAACCCTCCATCTGTTTTAGCAGGTACCTAACCATAAAAGAAAGACTAGCATTAAAGCGATAGGAATCCAGACACCAGGGCAGCCTCGGTAGAAAACTAATGGTTTTTAGGAGCTAGCATTTAATCTCGTAAACTTCTTGACGATCCAATTGGCTTGAATCACAAAGATGATTTAACTGTATATGGCACTTACCAATGCTAAAGCTTTCATTAAGTCGGCGGGCTTGAGAGCGTCATCTGTTGAATGGGTCAAATAGCAAGCCTTTGCTGCTGGCAAGCGTATCATTGTCATTTTCTGTTGGAAAAATGGAATTAAGTATAATGATTAAATCTATATCAACAACCAGCACCCCTTGGAGGTCACATTCTCACTGTCACGCGAACTTTCACGTCATTTTAGTGAATGGAGTATTTTGGCCGTTTTGTTGAGTCAATGTGAGTCGTCGCATGGACTAATTCCAAGCCTCTGAGGCGGTTAGCGTTGGCTGTGCGTGGAAATCACAGTCTCGACAAAAACATTTTAAAGAAATTATGCTTGCAAAGTGACGTTTTCACGTTAAAGTGCCATATCGTTTATCGATCAAAAAAGAAAAAAAAAAGAAATAATTTTAGTGAATAGTTTCGGCAAGGGTTGATACTGTTCAAAGGTTTTAAATACTGATTTATATTGGCGCTTCAGTAAACTTTACTGATCTGTTGAGATTTAATTTAAGATGCATGACTTATCGTGTTCAATAAACTAGTTAAAAGTTTTGTTTAAAAAATATATCTTACTGAGAACTTTAGCCCGACCCCTAAGGAAGGGTCATTAAGTAAATCTGCTTTCTTTTATGCATTAATTAACCTATTCAGATAGCATTTATTTGAAAATGATCAGAAACGTCGCTTAAATGGGGCTGCTTACTCTCAGTCTTCTTCTTTTACAAATCGTTTGCGTTTTGGCTTGTTTTAGTTTGGTTTTGCTTTGTATTTTTTGTTCACTTGTTTGTTTATTTTTGGTGTTCGTTTGTTTGTTTTTTAATCTTAAGTATGAAAGTCTTAAAAAAGACCGAAGAAATCTTGAAATCTGAAAAAAAAAAACGGCGATGGCACGAACGTCAAAGGCAATTATATTGCAAAGCTGAATTTTAAGACCACTTTGAATCATGTACTTTCGGTTCATAATTCATAATTATCCGAAACAGGTTACAAACTCCCAAGGACGCTAATCCCTATCGCTTATATACACGGCGCTTTCCTCCAAGAGTGAAAATAAAACTCTATTACCTTTTTAAAGTCGTAGATTATATCTCCTGCTTCTTCATCAGGCGAAGTCTTTGGTACGTGAAACGTTTCTGTTTCCTTTTCAGCGTCAATTTCGATGTTTTCGTCATATTCTTCCCCAGTGCCGCTCGACAACTTCAGTGAGTATTTTATCACGGAGTCCTGTAAAAAGTGGTGAGTAAATTACAAAAATTTTATACGTTGTCACGAAAAAATGAAACATTCTTTAGTTGAAAGGGCGGTAGTGCAGTTAAACTTTAACCTGCAAATCCGGCGGCTGGTTGTAATAGTTGGGGCAATTAAAATCAACACCAAGAAAAGGGAAAATCTGAAAACGGGTCAGTAACGAAGCTCTTTATACATTTATTGTTAAAAATTTCAAAAGGGAAGATGAAGATTTCAAGCCGCTAATAATAGCCTACATTACAAAAGTGTCAAAGCTTACCATTATTAACACAACTAGGAAGTAACGATTTCTCATACTAGTCTTACCTTCTTCTGCACGACAAAGGAGGTGGACTGAACGATGACAGCCAGCAGAGCAAGACAAGATAAGAACAACTTGATTTTCTGGTGAAATAATAAAAGCGATTTAGTACAGTTGAATTATAACCGTGAGTTCCTTCGTGTTTTCCTTTCATGGTCTTTCTTTGCTAATTTGTGTTTGAATTCGACCCTTGTCATTAACAAGTTTCTTTATCAATTTTATTAACGAGCGCCGGCTAAGAACATGTATGCTTCCCTTCATCCCTGTATAGACCAGTCGCTATTACTTTTGAAACCTTACGAGATAGAAAAATTAGTATTCTAACCTGACTTCACTGAACTGTAGACAATAAGGGATAGTGTTAATTGATAGAATTTGAAGGAACGAAAAGAAAGTGATACCGTATTGCACAGTGTACGCAAAGCCTAAATTCCAATTCCTTAGGTTACCTTCATGGCGTGAAAGCCCTGGCATTAAAAAGANTATAGACCAGTCGCTATTACTTTTGAAACCTTACGAGATAGAAAAATTAGTATTCTAACCTGACTTCACTGAACTGTAGACAATAAGGGATAGTGTTAATTGATAGAATTTGAAGGAACGAAAAGAAAGTGATACCGTATTGCACAGTGTACGCAAAGCCTAAATTCCAATTCCTTAGGTTACCTTCATGGCGTGAAAGCCCTGGCATTAAAAAGAAATGTCATTTGCTGCTACGGGTTGTTGCTACATACGAAGCTTATGACAGCCAAAATAACAGATATCATTTTTCAAAACTATACAAGACAGGATCTTCTTCGTAATGAAACTGTTTAAATGGGCAAATTGACGTGAAGTTAAATTCTCTTACCATCTCGGTAAAGTTTTTTCTGGACTAAGGGTCTTTCTCCAGCTCTCTGGTCCGCACTGATATCCCAAAATGGAACTGTATAAAACAGTGAAAACAACTGCTCCTTTTATATCATCTGAGGAGTGATGTGTCCAGAAGATATCACAACAAATAAGGGAAGATGAACTTGGTTTCAGTGCTGTGGAATGTTTCTACTACTGAAGCAGGCTTAGCTATCCCTGGAAAGAGGGGCAGGTTGGAGGGTATCCAATACCGCAATACCGTAAGAAAGATTGGCAAATACCGAAATAGTGTGTCAAAAATCGACCAAATACCGATACCACAGTTACGATCGGTCACGTTTACCTAAAGCTGTATCCATCTCGCGTGTCTGTTTACCTCCACCATGTATGCACCAGAACAACCTCAGACATTGCGAGAAAACGTGAGAACACCTTGAGCGCGATCCATTCAACCAAAATTTCCGGAAATTTCGGTCTAAAACTTAATCTATCGGTTCGTTCTAACCGTAAAAGTTTCGAAAAAACTGGTCCACCTTTTGAGGCGGACCACTTTTCCCCGGGTCGGACCGGTCGGAGTTTTGGTTGAATGGTTCGCGCCCCTTGATCGGTACAACGATCGAAAAACCCGGTCATTGGATTCCCTTCCAATTTCGTCGTAGATTGTGTAATCATTTACCCTCAAATCTAAAGTCTTAGGAATATTAACTTTAATTAGCCTGTTTAGCTTACTGTGGTTCGTGCTGCACATTGTATTGACCTGTATTAGACAGGAGAGCGCAAATAAATGGTACCGTAATACCGTGAAGGATCTTCTTTCACCGAATACCGTTAACCGAAAGGGAGAAAAACCGCATACCGTAGGGCTAGATGATACCGCATTACCGCACATACCGCTTGAAAAAAAGCTCAATATTTATTCTTATTTTTATTTTTAATTTTGCTTTTGTTGGTTAAGGAAGGGAGTATTATATCTAATTTCAAAATTAAATCTGACTAATCGTTAAAACAAAGGAGGCGTACTTCTGTTTCTTCTTATCAGAGCCGAAGCTAGACTTAAGAAAGATTTTTTTTTTCAGTTCCAAAGTCCCGATACACCGTTTTCTCCTTTATTCAATGGCTATCTTTTACAAAATTTCCCTCGATTGAGAAGAGGCAAACTACGTACTGAGCACAGATAATATAGCTTAAATCGTAAATAGTTAGAAGTAAACTGCAAAACAGTCCGTATTTTTGCAAATACGCGCGAGCAGTCAAACAAAAGGTCTGGAACGAGGCTGACAACGGAGAGCGAGACTGGGGAGAGACTTTTTTTTCTCTCGCCCCCCCGCGTGTAAGGCTCGCTCCATTCGCGCGCGTGAGATTCCTTCGCTACGCTTTACTGACATCTTCACTGAGTTTGAGAAAAAAACGCGACTGTTTTGCAGTCTAAGTCTATGTTTTATTGATCCTTAACTTACCCTTGACTTACCCTATGTACTCTAATCTGTAAATACATGTTGATTGTTATTATCTCTTTATTTTGAATATGCTGCGTGTACTAATGTGCTGTTAATATACTAAAAAATTTCGGTAAACGCTATCCAGAGTGGAAACGCCTTTTTCCTGAACTCTTGAAGCGGACAAAATCAAAAATGTTCCAAAACGCCAAAAAACAGAGGAAATTCACGTGCAGGCTCGTGACACGGACATTAAACCGCAAAATATTTCATTGAAAAACACGGTGGGAAACGCGTCTTTTTAGTGTCGCTGTTGCTGTCTACGTGAGGAAAATTATATAGATTGTTAGATTTTCCAGGAAAACTTTGACAGGCAACCTGACAAAGTATAGTGTTTCCCTCACGTAGTCAGCAATGTTTTCAATGAAATACTACGCGCGTTAATGTCTGTGTCAGGAGCAGGCACGTTTATAGCATTTTGGACAATTTTCGTGTTTTCCGCTTCACGAGTTGAGGAAAACGACGTTTTTATTTTGTATAGCGTTCTCAATAATGTCCATTTTCGATGACGACATCTTCAATATTTACATTTTCTGACGGACGTTTGGACAGGGTTTAGAGGAAATTATATAGATACAGCATATCCTAAAACGATATAGAGACAATAACAACTAAACAATGTAAACTCTACTGACATTGCATTTAAGTTAAGAATTCAGTTAACGTGATTCCCTAGTGTTGGACTGCGCATCCTGTTCTGCGCATAATAGCGCGTGCTCAAATATTACGCAACAAGGTGACTTGCTGTCAAAGACCCAAGAAACGGTCTGTGTTATCTACTCGACAAGCGCGGTGACCTATCCTTTTCTCGCATAAACGTACTATTCTAGCCTTTATATTTGTGCTGTAGAACTCAGAAAAGAAATTGTGTCTGAAAAAAAAGTAAAAATTATTGAGAAAACAGAACATGTAGGCATCACTTGTGCAGACGAAATAATAGAGAGATTAAGATTCACGTTTTCGCCAAACGGCAGACGTGAATTTGTACCACGTGATCAAGTTTTCCCCTTTAATCCGTTTACTCTTTATTGCTTCTACAAAAAAATAAGTAGTTTTGTGCCAGTTTTAACCATAGGAATCGTTCGGGACTGTTTTTATTTGCTTATTTTCTATTCTGAGAAATTCTCAACTTAAGTCTGACGTTTGCCGTTTGCGGTGAATCTTAATCTCTCTAATATCCTCTAGCCTGTCTCGCACTCGAGGAATATTTTACTCAATATCTTTTCAAGAAGTGTGCTTGTGCGATAAGAAAAAATTACATTCTTTCTTTTGATCATACTTTGAACGTAACCCGGGTAAAACACAGTGGTGAATCGTTGAGATTTTGCGCTAAAAAATTAGATAGCTCGTTAAAACGAACGATTTCGTTTAATAATAATAATAATAATAATAATAATAATAATAATAATAAACTTTATTCAAGTGTCGTGTAACTTTAGCATGGTGTTGCTAATTGGGGACATCGTAACATAAAAAAAAACTAATATACATAATATAAGTAATAAAAATACAGAGTTATCTGTATATGTCAACGCGTAGTCAATCGATAGGTATCGATATCGGAAATCAATCGATACACTCGATATCAATCGATATCAATCACCGATTTCTATCGATTGATATCGGTAATCGATGACAATCGAACTCACAGAAAAAATATCGATTTATATCGATTGGCAAAAATCGATAATTATCGATAAGAGTCGATAATCCAAAACAGTATTTATTTCAAACATATTACTGAAGACTGGCGTTGCTATCTAGTAAATGAATATACGAGAAAGGCGTTTAAGGTCAAGCATTTTATTATCAATTTCATCATCTAGTCAAGGCGGAGTGTTCATCCCACTTGGTTTGTCCAATCATTCCAGCGTTATCTACTGCTTCCTGTATGTCTTTTGTGGCAATCTCGCGTTGTTAATCGGCCAACATAATGCGATATATGGTCGATATTTATGGAGCCAAAGTGATTATTGCTGTGCTACTGGATATTTTTTTATTTCTTTCTTACTCTGTGATTTATTCTTACGTTTCTTTCTTAATGCGACTAATTGAAATCATAAAAACATTGAGTTTGTTTTTTAATCTGCTTCATCTTTATGGCGTTGCTATAACGAGACTAGCCGAGGGTTGTACACCGCTACTTTGGCCGCAACTTCTTCTTCTTCCTGTATTATGAACTGCGCTGAAGCTGCAGATCGATAAAAAGACCAAACGTTCCTGTTATTGTTTTTGTTCCTATAGAATTTTATTGATAATTGTAAACTGACCTATTGCATGCTATGATGATTGAATGACTCAACAAAACCATACAGACAACATTGTGTGGATGATTAACTTGTAAAACGACAACAATCTTTTCCGATAACAATCGATAATAATCGATAACATTCGATAAATCAATCGTTAGCGATTTTTATCGGAAATCGATATCAATCGAACTCACAACTTTATTCCTTTATCGATTTCTATCGATTGGTATTGGAAATCGATATCAATCTTCGATTGTTATCGATTGCTCTCGATTGATATCGGTTATCGGTTTATCGATTGCCTACGCCTGGATATGTAAAATGTTAAAAAATTGTAGGATTATGGTTTAAGAATGACATAGAAAACAGCCAGATGGACATTTGTCGAGCAAAAAATCTACCAGGTCCATTTTCTTAATTTGTCTGTTAAAACTGTGTTCGTCTAAAATAAGACGCGGCTTAGCTAAGACGCGTCTTATT